CTACTGCTACTACTACTACTACTACTACTACTACTATACTACTACTACTACTACTACTACTACTACTACTACTACTAGTGCGGCTGCTGCTGCTGCTGCTGCTGCTGCTGCTGCTGCTGCTACTGCTGCTCGGACGACGATCACCTCTACATCAACAACCACACAACCACAATCTTCATCGACAACACGAATAGTTGAATAGAACCATCAGCGTCATCTCCATCATCATCTTCTCCATCGTCATGATCGTCATACACCACAATGCAAATCGCCAACACAAAGAACAACAACGACTGCACAACAGCTTCGTCGACAAGGAAGCCCCAAATTCCACACCCCAGACCCTGAGCCAGCAGGGCTTTGTAGGAAAGGCAGCCGAGCATCAATGCTCCTTGTCCGACGGGACGTCCCGCCACCACAGGTCTGTGCGGGAGACGAGTGGCTTCCAATTTCTTGTTCTCAACAACGTTAAAACAGTGTAACGCACGACACATAACATAATCCAGCATGTGGCACACCTGGTATGTTGTGATATGCAGTGGACATCATCTACAGAAAAGGTCAAGCTAGCTGTTTCGTTTCAGTTTTGCCGCTGCGCAAGCAAGAGGAGATATCTCCAAAGACTCCTCCAAACAACTGTGGCCCAATTCCGTCCAGGGCACGGCACTGCAGACTGTGAAGCTTGTCCACTCGCTCCAGTGGCAGTCATCAGGACAGGGATGCTCGTTGCAGGACTCCTGGGGCAGTCGTGGAGCTCAAATTGTCCCCTTTTTGCTGCCTTTGCTGGGAGAACCCAGGACGCATCCTGCTAGTGGCGGCATCCTGTTGGGCTTTCAGTGCTACCCTCATCGAAGATGCAAACAGCTCTCTGAAGGCGTTTGCAATCAACGTATCAGTACTTATGCTATCCTCTTGCAACCTACAGTCACAACAGGCTACATCAAAAAGCAGCAGTGCGTCAGTGCAGCAGTTTTGCAATCAAATCAAACAGGCCAACGCAGCAAAATTAGGCCTCGTCAATCGGCAGGCCCTCACAATCTGCGCCACCGTTGGCAGGTGCCACCCAGACGATCCGCTTCTTCCGCTTCTTTCCTGCGGGGGCTAAAGTTCCGTCAATAAGAGAGCCTTGCATCTGTGTGTTCTCCAGCTTGTTGAGGGTGTTTGCTCAATGGCTTACCCGAGCACGGCAGAGGGGCTGGGGTGCAGGGCTCCGGAATTAAGTATCGAAGGACGAGGCATGCGACACCAGGCACAAGCCTGCGTCAATTTGCGGCCCAAAGCATGGAGGGAATATCAGCCGTGATACTTACAGCCCATGGCAAACCCCAAACCCGGCCTCCACCGCAGGAGGCAGAGCACGCATCGAACTCCGTCCAAGCACCCCACTCGCAGTCCAACGGACAGGGCTGAGCGCTGCAAGCCTGCAGCAGTCACATTGCAGGCCATGCCATTCCAATGCATTGCCTTCAATACACTATACTACGTTACCTTACATACATCACCTTCCGTTCGGTTCCACTCCCTTCGGTTACGTGACGATGCGCAACACTACGCAGCATCGCAATTTAGTGCACTGCATTGCATTACATTGCCCGCTGTTCCCTCTATTGCCTTACCTACATTCCAGCATGTTCCATTACATCCCACCACATTAGACCACATTACGTTACATCACATCATATCACATGACAGACCTCGCATTACATCGCAGTACATCACATGACAGTACATTCAGAATCCATACGTGTGAAAGGCCAAGCTCGCACATGGCATGTTCTACATATGTTCTTATGTGCCAGTATATATATATATATATATCTATATATATATATGCATAAGTGTATGTATTCATTTGCTATGTTCGAAAAAGGAAGCAAGCATTACAGCGTGCATGTTGCATATCAGCTCCCGTACCATGTCGGCTTCTTGATCTGCAGACATAGATAGACAGATAGATAGATAGATGGATAGATAGACAGATAGATAGATATGTTTTAGATAGCTAGATAGATAGATAGATAGATAGATAGAACAGTGTTTCATGTTATGCTTATTACTTTCTACTGTTTTTAGGATTATTGTTGTTTCTACTGTTTTTTATTGTTAACAATATGTCGAATCTTTTCTAATCATTCGGCCAATGCACAACAATCTTATGCAATTGCAGGCAGTCGCAATTCAGCTGCAGTCAATCCGGAATGCCTCATCTTCTGCAACTGGCCCCTGGCAACCGTGACCTGGCAGTGATTTCCATGTGCCAGCAGCTGCCAAGGCAGTGCCAGACACCATTCCACTCGCAAAGTCTGCTGAGGAAAACTTCAGCTGAAGGGTGGCACCACCTCCGTATTTGGCTGCGACTTCCTCACCCCTGGACCGCGAGGCCATTCCACCTGAACACGGTGGCTGTGCAAGCAGGAAAGCCTTGCATCAAGAAGCGTGTACGGATTGCACCTCCACAGCTCTTGGAGCAGGAGGTCCATGGCGACCAGTCTGCGAGTTCACAGTGAACCTCACAAAGTGAAGATTTGGAGAAGGCTGACAGAACACAAGCTACAGATCGGTCTTTCGAGGTTGTATAGTACTATGTGTGTATATATAAGCATGCGCATATATATATATATAT